ACCTCCATCTACTTGAACCCCCAGCAGCTCAAAGACTGTGAAGCCAACTCCCAGACTGTACCCCAACTCCTAGCCCACACGCCTGGCTCTGCTGCCCGCCCCCCCGCCCCACTCAGGCCTCTCTCAGCTCTTCATTATGGAGGTCATCGAGTCTCTCCACTCCTTGCTTTAATTTCCCACCCCCTTCGCCCAGGACCAGAATTTACCACACAAAGGAGACACAATACAAGAAGTAAGACTCCCTTCCCCTTTCTTCCCATCTCCCCAGTTCCGTTAGCTCGGTCTGTTTTTTCTACTTCCATGCCACAGAATGCCCAGGAACCATGAAGGCAGACTAAACAATCCTGAGAGAAAAAAACTGTGGTAAGCAAAGCAGAATTCTTTTTAGTGGGTGGCACTGGGGACTGTTAATAAATCTGTAGCAACACACACACAATTGTCACTAAGTGCCCCCCCACCTGGCCCCCCACCCTCTAGCCACAGGACAGTGGTTCTTACGCTTTCTAACCATGCTGGGTCTTCGTCACATCGTCACTCACTTTTGCACCCCCTTCCTCTCCAGAACCACAGGTCTGGCCAGGGCCTTCAGCACAGCCTCGCTTCCCCCGCTTAGCATCTGGCTTCCTCCCCGACTTCAGGGTCTCAGTCCTCCAATCTGTCCCGATAACCACACAGCTGACCTCTACCATACTCCACGCTCGCCTCGCTCCCCTGCTGAAGCTCCCCAGGTCCCTAGCCCCTGGAGCCCAAGTTCCTACCCAGGTGTCCCACATCAAGCACAGGGTAGCACGTCTTCAGCCTTCCCATCCACGTCTCACTCCCCCGGTCCTCCAGGAAGCATCAGCGTGAGCTCTGCGCCCTCCAACAGGCCCACCCTTACTACTTCTCGATTCTGAGCCTCACACTGAGTCTGTACTACACAGTCTCACGCTTGATTCTCATGGTCATTTGATTGTTTTAAGGCCTTGAGTCTTCTGCCCATAAGACCGTAAGCTGCTTGAGATCAGGGGCCTCAAAGGCTTCTAAGTAGCACCCAGTGGTACTCAAAAGTCCTCCTCCTCTATTAGCTCATGACAAGAAAAACAGACCCATTTCTACTCCAAAGGCCTTGATGGAAATCTCCAGATGCCCCTGCCAAGCCTTTTGCATGTTCTCTGCCAGGTCATTTTTAGGAACTTCTGGATAAAGGACAGAAGGAACCCTTTTTAAAATGTATTTACTGCCGTGGTAGATACTATACTCATCTGCCTCACAACTTAAAATGAAGTTGGTCGGGGCGCCTGGGTGGTTCAGTCGTTCAGCATCTGCCTTCGGCTCAGGTCATGATCCCAGGGTCCTGGGATCGAGCCCCACGTCGGGCTCCCTGCTCGGCAGGAAGCCTGCTTCTCCCTCTCCCACTCCCCCCTGCTTGCGTTCCCTCTCTCGCTGTGTCTCTCTGTGTCAAATAAATATAGAAAATCTTTAAAGAAAAAAAAAATGAAGTTGGTCTCCCACCTTTCTCAACCACCCAGTTCTGCTGCCAAGCGGCAAACAATGGACTGGTTTCTTGTTTATTTTTCAATAGGTATTTGATGCACCTACAAGGCAATGGGAACACATCCTCTTTTCCGCCCCTCACTTGTTTTGCACATAAGCTAGGATGCAATAGACATCGTTCTGCGTCTCGCATTTTCTGTTTAGCAGCGTTATCTCAGACAGCATCCCACACGGGCACCTAGAGGGCTTCCTCACGCTCATCTTGTGGCTGCGTAGTGTCCGGGTGTAGGAGCGACCCTAACTGATGCAACCAGTCTCCGGTTGTGACATAGAGAGGGTGTTCCCAGCCTTTTACCGACACATACAATGCCACGATGAACAGCCTTATTCAGACATAATGCGCTCTATGCGAGTGTATCTGTGGGATGAATCCCTGGAAGTAGAATTGCTGGGTGAAAGGGTAAAGTACATACGTAATTTTCATAGATATTTCCAGATCGTTCTCCAGCGAGGTTGTATCAAACCTGCAGTCCTGCTGTCCAGGTAGCAGGTGCCCATCCCCCGCCCTCACCGAGCTTACAGACGAAAACCTCCGCTGAGGTGCAGTTTGCTTTGTGTCACTCTCCCCATGAATGTGGTTGAGTAGCTTTTTATGTTTAAGAGCCAAGTGGAGCGTGTGTGTGTGCGTGCGCGTGCGCGTGCACATAAACATGTGGACTCGATTTTTTTTATCCTCTGCTTACCTTTCTTTTGTATTCTTGGTCTTTTTGAATCAATGTATAGCTCTTAGGGGAATTAGTCCTTTTATTTATATTAGGGGAATTAGTCCTTTGTTATATGAGCTGCCGATAATTTCCCATTTATGTTTGTCTTTGACCTTGCCTCTGGGCTATTGCTAGGCGGAATTGTTTATTTTTCTGTAGGCAAATTTATCAGTCTTTTCTTTTATGGCTCCGAGGTTGTGTGTCTCGCTCAGAAAGGAGCAGGACTGCCCCTCCTCTCCCCACCACATACACACACACCTTTTTTTTGTCAGTACAAGCTTGGAATGACATACCAGGCTTTGTGAGGAACAGAACAACTCCTGCCCTCCAGGAGATCCCTGTTTACAAAGTAAACAGGCAACTGCAATTCCGTGTTATAATAAATAACAGGGGGCACAATGGGAACCTGGGCAAGGACCACCTGATCTAGCCTGAGTCGGCCAGGGAAGGCTTTCCAAAAGAGGTGGCACCCAGGTATGTCAGAGGCATGAGTCGGAGTCAGCCACATGAATAACAGGAGTCAGCCGGGTGAAGTGACAGCAAGTGCAAAGGTAAGAAGCAGCAGGGCTTTGTCAAGGCTGTCCAGTCTGGCAAGAAGATGGGGAGCCTGGCATGGTGACATGTAATAGGGGTGGAGCTGGAAAGGTAGGCAGGGGCCAGCTCACGGAGGGCCAAGATGTGTACTGCCCAGGAACCAGGGCCTTACCCTGAGGCAGTGGGGAGAAATCAGAGGGTCACAGAAGAGCTAGACACAGCCAGTGTGGGGGTGGGCCCTGGCTTGGAGACTTGTACCTCTCACCCAGCAGTAGCCACAGCAGCCCGGAGAGGCTCCAGGCTGCCGAACAAGAGTGTGAATTTCAGACCCAAATGTTCAATTTTGTCAAACTTCCAGAATTTGATAAAAATAATGAGAGATGGGCGCCTGGGTGGCTCAGTCAGTTAAGCGTCTGCCTTTGGCTCAGGTCATGATCCCAGGGTCCTGGGATCGAGCCCTGCATCGGGCTCCCTGCTCAGCCGGGAGCCTGCTTCTCCCTCTCCCTCTGCCCAACCCCCCCCAACTTGTGATCTCTCTCTGTGTCAAATAAATAAAATCTTTAAAAAAAAAATGAGAGAGACTAGCATCTTCTCTGAGAAATACTTCTAACTTCAATGCTGACCACTTTCAGAGTTTTGACTCTTGGTGGGGAGAGCTGTTGCTGCCACTCCCCTCCCCCTGCAGTTGGGGCCAGGTGGGTACAGCCTGATGCTAACTGCCCTCTCGACTCCAACCTCAGGGGCTCAGGGGACACCTGGGCTCTTCAGCCCCAGCCCCAGCCCCAGCCCCAGCCCATCCATCCAGAACCCCATTCAAAATGGGCAACAGGGATGCAGGATTGCAGTGACGGAGTGATGGACCCCAGGGATGGAGCCTCCAGCTGGCCTACATCCATGGGGGACATCTCTCCTTCCAGCCAACAAGCTCCTCAGTCCTGCTCTGAGGAGCCACAGCTGTTTGCAGAGGTATTGGGTAGAGTCCTATCAACCTCTCTGCTCCTGTGGCCTTCGAGAACCAGCATTGTGTAGCAGGTCTGGGCAGCTGTCTTTCCTAAAGTGCCCAGCACAAGGTCTTGCATACAGTAAGCACTCAGTAAATGGTAGCAGTTTCTATTAAAATTGGAGAGCCTCACTACTCATTAGCAGGTTGCTGAGGGAAAGAAAGGGCAATGCGGACACAAGGAGGGACGTTGGAAACCATGTAAGTGCAACTTTGGGATTGTCTCTGGATTTCAATGATCCAGGCCCTCCCCACCCCCCAACCCTCAAACCTGTCAGAGGTTGGTCTGTGATGCTACCATTTGAGGTAGATTTCCTTTATTGCCCTAAGGCAACTGTATCCCAAAGGGTCACTTGATTAAGTCAAGTGCTGTAGAAAGAAAGGCTCTTGGAGGCCTGGAAGCCGTGGTCCCAGCCAGCAGGCTCACTGGTGCCCCTCAATGGTAACCTCTACCCTCAGCAGTCCAAGGGCATGCGGGGAGTGCCCACACACCCCTGGCCTGGAAGGTAGGAAGCCAGTCCCAACCTCAGCTCCAAACAGACCCACAAGCCCCTCACCACTGCAGCCGCCAAACAGCAATTAGGTCAAAGGCAGGGTGGTGGGGTTTTCTAGGGCAGAACACGTGTCTCTCTGGAGTCTACTTTCTGAATTCCTGTGTGCCGCTGGGTGGGGTCGGAGGGGAGGCACAGACACCCAGGTCTCAGGTGCAGCAAAGCTGATGAGGACATCAGGAAGCAAGGGGCCTAGGTTCCAACCCTGCTGGCTGTGTGCCTGTCATTTGCATAAAGGCCACGTCAGCTTAGGGCTGGGGATTTTACTTTTCCCAAAATGAGAGGGTCTATTTCAGTAAATGTTAGCAAAGCTCACTGGTAGGAATACATATCTAGCTTTAACTTCCCTTTAGTTGACATTTATTACTATGTAAGAGGCAGGGAGGCAGGTACCTGGCACACATAACCTCATTTCATTCTCTCAACAACTCCATGAAGGTAGGATCATCCAGATGAGGAAAGCAAGAGTCAGAAAGGCTGAGAGCCCTGAGCCATGGTCCCACTGCTAGCACATGGCAGAGCTGGGATTTGAACTAGGGTCTGTCTTAACCACCACATGAGATTGGCAGGAAGACACGCCAGTCAGTTGTCAGCCCCGACCCTTCACCAGCCACACCAAGCAATGCCCCTGATCTCTGAGACCACAGACAGAGGTAAAGGAAGGACACGGACTCCTACAGGTCACTCTTCTTTATTCCCCATTACCCCCCGATCTCACCGCATGGTCTACGGAGAATCTCAGCATCTTGCCAATCACAGGCTTCTCTGACTCTGCATGGTGCCAGGGCAGCCCACCAAGGAGCTGAAGCGGCTCCCAGGCACCAGGAGAATCAAGGTTTCTCTGTCATCCCTCAGTCCCCCTCCCAGAGCACAGGGACGTACAGCAGCCTGCTGTGCCAATCCCAGGGAAAGGGGAGGAGGGTTCTGGAAAGCAGGCATCTCTTAGCTGGAAAGAAGTCGGGACCTGGGCCTTTGTTCTAACTGAACCTGAGGCAAGTCAGGCCCCCAGCCCAGGACAGACTCCTCCCCAGTAAACGCAGAAGTCTTCACCGTATTTTGCCAACATCCACCTTCTTCATAGACTTGGCCTGAAAACACGCTGAGTGCAGAGGGACACACATGACAGAAATCCTGGGTTCAACTCTGCTGAGAGCCACTGTGCCGGAAGAGGATTTCTTCCACTTTGCCCACAATGGTGCCCACCTCGGCCATGGCCCCTAGACCTAGGGAGCAAGGTTCTGCTGTGGCCTGCAGACTGAGGCAGGCACCCAACCCCCACCCACCCTGCTCAATGCTCCCGAGTGCTCCATCCAAAGCCCAACGCCTGGAAGGCCAGGACCATGTCTGCAGGAGCCAGACCCATCAAGTCCCTTCCAAGGCACCCCCAGGTCAGGCCCCAGGAACAGTCACAGTAACCACTGTGTACTTGGGCTGCCTGCCAGGGACACCAGGCACTTGACATATACTATCTCGTTTAATCCTACCAAGTCTGAGAGGAATTATGACTTCCATTTCCCAGACGAGAAAACCAAGCCCAGAGAACAGTTTTGCCTGAGGTCACGACAGGCTGGGATGTGGACCCAGATCTGACCCCGGAGCTGAGCCCTGCTGTGACTCTGGGCTGTGGGGATGGCCTATGAGCCTGGCCAGATGCCCACCTTGGTCTCCACACACCAACTTCTTGGCCACACAAGGTATCTCAACATAGCCGAAGGCCTTGAGCTGGCCCACCTGCTGCGCCGTGATGGGATGCTCCCACATGACGGTGTTCATCGCTGGGCAGAAGAGCAGGGGCTTGCGGCAGTCCCAGGCTCGGATGACACAGGTCTGTGAAGAAGGGCCCAGTGGGGTGAGTGGGTGCCTGCCGCTCTGCCTGCCACCCCTCCCCAGTGCTCCCAAATCCTACCCACCGTCCTCTGGGTCACAGCTAGAGGGCTTGGGATGACGGGGTGCGACTTGTCCGTGTCCCCCCGTCTCGTGTCTCCTCAGCCTCTCCACCTCCCCACAGGGCCTGACACACAGGGGGTCCTCCCCCAACACGCGCAATGGCCCCGCCACCTCCACACAGACCCCCACTCCTGTGCAGAACACGCTCTCTGAGCCAAAGCACAAGGCTTCTCCACTGTGGGACACACCTCACAGACAGAAGCCAGCCAGGGGAGCAGTTACCCCCAAAGCAAAGGCCCAGACCACTCATCGGGTGGGGCCCATCCACCCCAACTCCGGCTCTACTTCGAAGCCGGCTAAAGCTTGGCATGAGAACACCTTCCACACGACAAAAACCCTCTCCTCTGCAGTATCCCACGCACCTCACTGCAACCCTGTAAAGAAGGTGCTGTCCGCGTCACATGGGAAAGCTGCACTCCCCAAGCTCCCATGGAGACGACGATCCAGGGCATGAAGCCCTGCACGCCGCCCCATGGGGTCTTCCACCGTCCCACACAGCCTCACTACCTCCCGAGTTCCAGGCCATCCCACCAAGTCACACACCAGAGGAACTGTGAAAGAGACCCACCCGCCCAGCGGGTTGCGAAATCATAGACCTGGGTTCAAATCCCGACTGTGCTATCTACTCTTGCTTCAGGCCAGGAGGACTTGGAGTAATTTAATGTCGGGAGTCTTAGCTTCCTCTTTGCAAAAGCCCCCCTCACCGGATGGTTGTGAAGACAGAGGCTGGAAATGCTTGCAGCTCTTCACACAGGGCCTGGCATCAAGGTTAGGCTCCCGAAACAGGAGCTCCTGGTACCACCAGAGTAGCACTGGCTCCCGGGGCCAGGGGCTGCCCCGAGGTTCCCCGGCTGCTCTGGCACCTCCTTCCCAGCTGTGGGCCCCTTGGGGAGACAGTGGTCAGCACACCCCATCCCTGAAGTGCAGCCCGTGTGGGAAGAGAGTGGGCAACCCAGAAAACAATGCCGGGAGCAGGCCCGAGCCGATGCCCGGCGCTCTCGGTGCCCCTGCCCTCTCCTGGGGACGGGAAGGAAGTGGGACGGCCCGCGGCCTCAGGACCTGGCTGCTTGTGTAGACCCAGACACCAGCGTCTGTTTCCCACCGAGTCCTCTCAATGTGGCAACCAGGCTGAGTGGACAGTTTCAGTCACACTTCCTCTTGGCCCCGTGCCACCTGCCGCTTCTGTAAGAGTCACGAACATACCTAGAAGCGGCCCCCTGACAGCGTGTGGAGTGTGGTGGGCGCTGGCTTGGGGTTTCTAAGCGTCTTCGAAGCACAGCACACCAACAACCAGAAGACAAACCCAATACCTCCGTGTCCCATGCCTCTCTAGCTCTTCCCACCTCACCTCGCAGCTCAGCCCTTCGCAGACAAACCACAGCTCCTCTGAACCTTCTGGCAGCAGGAGGGATGAGAGGAGGCCTCAGTTCCCACGGTCACGTCTATTTGGTCAGGGCTCTGTTCAGTACCTCAAGCTCTGCCCCTGGGAAGCTGCCTGGGCAGAGAGAAGGCCTAGATCCAGATCAGGAGACCAGCTCCCAGCTAGACTGGCGACCCAGGGAAGTCACTCCTCTTTCTGGTTCTGCTTGGCTATTTTTTTTTTTTTAAGTAATCTCCACACCCAACATGGGGCTCAAACTCACGACTCCGAGATCAAGAGTTGCATGCTCTACCAACTGAGCCAGCCAGGCGCCCCTCTGCTTGGCTATTTAGCACAAAGAAGGGGCGAGGGCCCAAGTGGGCCAGAGGGCAGATGGTGATGCACCTCACCCAGGCCAAGGGCCCAGAGACCTGGCGCACAGGTTCACACCTAGCATGCTGCTCCTCTGGCACCCCAAGTTCTAGACACTGGAAAGGGAGATCTGAAGGAAGGGGGCAGCAGGGCGACGTTTTCAGGGATAAAAGGACAAAACATCTTTTAAGTGAGTACAGAGCCATAGGGCAAGGATGATGACAATTTAAACTTTATGAGAGGGACGCCTGGGTGGCTCAGTCGGTTAAGCATCTGCCTTCAGCTCAGGTCATGATCCTAGAATTCCGGGATCGAGCCCCATGTTGGGCTCCCATTCAGCGGAGAGTCTGCTTCTCCCTCTACCTCTGCACCTCCCCTCGCTCCTGCTCTCTCTTGCTCACTCTAAAATAAAATAAACTATGAGATTTGTAATTCCTTGAAATATCTGTGCCTTCAAATGAAACCTTTTGAGGCAAACGGCCTCAGTTCAGCCAATTCAGGAGGAGGGAACCCTGAAGATTTCAGGGAGTGAGGGCAGCTTTGAAGGAAAAAGGGAAGCAGAGTTTTGCAGGGGAAGAAAGGAGCCGTCCGAGAGCCAGCCCAGCCTGGGGCATACCTCCTAGAGGTCAGTGTGCTTCATCACATCAGCTGGTGCTGGCCAGCCAGTGGGAAGCCTGGAGATCTGCTGAGATGGTGCAGGTCACATACCACTCAGGCCTACAGGGCTGAAAGTGGCCTGGAGCCTCCCCTGCTCCAACTGCCCGGTCAGCCACACACCAGCCTCACTGGGAAGCCTTCTGAATAACACCGCCCCCAGGCTCGCCCTTCTCTGTACTCCCCCACCCCTGCTCCTGGCTACATCATCTGTGTGCCACTCTTCTGGTCACCCTGTGCTCTTATTCAATCACTAGCAGATTCTTCAAGAAGTGCCTTACGCACCCATCAATAAGCATGCAAGGAGACTAACCTCCTATCTGACCCACCAACATTTTGACCCAGCTTCATTATTTACTTCTTCTTCCTATTAAACTCTGAAAATCTCCTTGCTCTTTGCCAAAGTAGAGTGACTAACGACCTCATACATACAGTAAGTATTTATTGAACACTTACTATATGCCCAGCACTGTCCACTGTCAAAGGACCAACTGGGGTCACTGAAGACTGTACCACACACCAGAGCATACTTCCTTCTCACCTGTGTGGGTAACCAACAACCCTCTCCTTCCAGACTATGAGTTCCCCGTATCCTGTGTGTCTCTCAGCATGGGGCTCGGTTCATGTTAGGGAAATGTTCAATGCGTGAGGGACGTGAGGTAATAATGGAGAAGGAGGGAGGACAGAGATGACACACCTAGCTCTTCCCAGGAGGATCATATAAACAAGGCCTTTTAGGACAACAGCTCCCTGGAGGTCCCTTAGGCCGAGGACAATCCCCACTTTGTGCATCTGGACTTCTGTTCCTCTCCTCCACCAGCCATCGGCTGGAACCTCTCACCGTCTCTCCTCCCTTCCTCTCTAAGCTTTCCCTAACACACAGGAAAACCGCATTTCTGCCTTGTGGCCAATGCTACAGGAGAGATAAGTGTGCACAAGAGATCCATGAGGAAGTAAACACTCTTATCAGATCGCCCATGTGGATATCCAGATCCTGGGGAGAAGGCAGGGCTAAGGGGGGCAGGCAGTGGGGCTGGGCAGGGAGACCAACAGAAGAGCACATTAAGGGCAGCCCGTGAATGAGGGACAAAGGGAGAAGAGCTGAGCATCAGGGGGGCAGGTGAGAGGTGGACACCCTCAGCACACACAAGCTGAATCCATCCATCTGTCCACTGGCCGGAACACAGGTGACACCAGGTGGAGGGGAGGGGGTCCAGGGGGACAGTGTTCCAGGCAAATCAGCCCACCATAAAAAGAATTTCAAGGCAAGAACCCCATACAAAGGTAGTCTGCAGCTCGGCAAACCAGGAGTGAGGCCCAGGGAGGGAGGAGGGTAGAGTCACTCACAAGCAAGTTGTCACATATGCCACTGGCCACCTTCCCCAGGGTGTTGGCATCGAGAGGAGCCACCAACATGAGGTCGGCCCACCTCCGCAGGTCAATGTGGAGAACTGGGTCGGATCGGCACTTCCACATCTGGCAGAGGGAAGGAAACGGGGTCATTAAGCTGGCTACTCTCTCAGTGCGGAGGGAGGTATACGTAAGTCAGAAACCAAGGGAGACCACCTGAGCAAGCCCTGTCCAAGTCCACTACTGTTCCCTCTCACAGCTAAGCTGGTGAGCACCAGCTGTGGAGCCGACAGCCTGAGAGAAACCAGGCCTGAGGAAACAAACACCCCTTGTCTCTCCAAGCTATTCCCTTTATGGTTTGGTTTTCAAGAGAACTGACATCTGGCACGGAACTCCTGGCCTGTCTGCTTGAGGCGGATGCTTGGGTTGTCCAAGCCCGTGGAAGGGCTCTGGGGCGGCGAGAATGGAGGGGGTGGGGTGGAGAAGACAGGCCAGCCAGAAATGTTCTAGGCTGAGAATGTTTCAAAATGCCTGGCAGGGCACCCCTGTGAGGCCCACACTCGATGTCTGGTGAATCGGCCGGTGCTTGCCCCGCTGCGGGAGAGCAGACGCAGAGCCCAGCGGCCGTGGGAAGCGAGGCGCCCTCCACAGCCCTGACACTGGGAGCCACGTGGACAAGGGTGGTGGGAACGGAGCTCCTCTGTGGTTTCATCAGCCCAGATAAGTGCAAGGACACTCAACCTGAGGCACGGGGCCAGGGCCGAGCTCTGCCTGGGGTGGGAGGAGACTTCAGGCCTCCCGCAGGCCAGAAGCTACACACATGTTCTCCTCATCGCCTCTGCCCAGAGGGCCTTGACCACTGACTTGAGCCTAGCCCGTCTGCTCTGGCCTCCAGGACCATGGGCAGCAGGGAGGACACTGCTGTCCTGCTGGTAGAAACATGATGGAACTCAGCCCTGGGGCCCCCGTGCACTGACCTCCCATTCATCAGCGTCGCTGTAGAGAGTGACAGGAATGTCCTGGGGGCTGTAGAAATGTTTGGCTCTCTCGGTTGTGACCACTGCTACTTCCAGCTGTCACGGAGAAAACAGTGGAGGTGGAGAGGGAGAGGGAAAGGAAACTGTTACCAGAGCCACCGGCCTGGAGGCCGCACGGGGCCAGGCCAGGCAAGTGCCTTCTTCGCAGCCTGGCTGTGGAAAAGACTTCTCCCTCCTCGGCAGTGAGCCCCATGTTTGCATAGCTACTTCCGATGTCACCCAAAGGTCAGGCCCCACCAGATGTGACCGTTTCACTTCCCTATCTGAGGGGTTGTTGAGGAATGAGTCACCAACTGCCCAGTGCATATAAAGCTGCAGGCTCCTGCCACTCGGGCTGAGAGGCAGAGGCAGACAGGAAGGAATGCAGGGTAAGAGGAGCCACCCCAAAGAGCTCTAATCCACACCGCAACCCTGCCCTCTGCAGGCCAAGGTACTGGGGAGCTGGGGCCTGGCACGCGGTGGCTGCATCCATGCCCCAGCGAGAAAACAAGGCAGAGTCCTTTCTCGTACTTCTAGGAACAAGGCCTCGTGGGCTCTGGTTGCAGACAGACTCCAGGAAAAAAAAAAACCTGTGTACCCTACACTCGTGGGGCAAGAATGAAGTTTACCTTCACACTCCTCATTCACAAGTAATTCATAATGCAAACAAGGGTACGGTTAGTTGTGTGGACAGCACTAGACACAGTTGCCATCCTTCGTAAAATGAGGTGTTAAACCAATACACTGGCAGAGTAAACGAGCTCCAAAGAAGTGGCTGGGAGGGGAAGGGTGTAGAAAATCACATCTCTAGGGGACATTTATCCAGGAGACAGAAGAGTCAAGGGTGACAAGGACAGAATCATCAACTGGCTACAACAGGAATCCCGTGTGGCATGTAGGCCAGATCCAGCCTGCAGACATGCTACTTGGCCTGCATGAGGTTATAGACATTCTTGAGCCAATATATACAGATTGGGAGATTTCACATAGAAAATCCAATCTCTTGGCTTCTCTTGAAAAACTAAAAGCTCTGGCACTCTGGGGCCCACATTCCTACTTGATAATGGTGGTGTTGCGTCACAGCTGCCTCTTGGGATAGAGCGTGCCCATGCCAACTCACAGAAGCCGCATCCCTCCCTATCGTCTCACTGAGGCCCCCCTCCTCATCTGTTTCCTGCCTATCCTGCAGCAGTGACAGCATTACGCACGTAAGAGCAAAGCTGGGACCAGGAAGCAGACATCTCAGAGAAGCAAAATTCGGTACTTCAGAAGGTCTGCTATTTCTAGCTCTACTGGAGAGCTCTCAGACATGTCCACTCTCCCTCACTCTCCCTTAGAATCTACCATCCCCAGAACTCGCGCAAGACCTCAGTGACCTTTTTAAAGGTCATTTAAACCAAACTTCCACTGAGCACTGGTGCTCACTCCAGGGCAGCTCTGAACAAGATGGCGGAGGAACAGGGCCGCCTTCTCTCCACGGCACCGAGGCCTGGAGCCCACCCGGGACCAGCACAGGCAGGGAGAGAGCAGAGGAAGGCAGGACAGTGCCAAGACTCTCAAGATACAAGACAGTGGCAAGGTAAGACAGGGGAACGGTAAGTTAGAGCTAACCAGAAGAATAGGTCACTTTCAAACCAGCAGAAAACTCAAGCTACACAATAAAGGATCGGAAAGGGAAAAAAAGCAGAGAGGACACATGACAAGTAGAAAGCATTGAGTAAGACAGCAGAAGTTAAGTCCTAACATGATAGTAATTAGAGTAATAGATAATGAGCTAAATTCCCTGATCAAAATTCAGACTCTCATACTGGATTTTTAAAGCCCTCTATCACATCAAAATGTGTCTGAAAAGACACTTTTAAAACAAAAGGATATATCGGGGCACCTGGCTGGTCAGTTGGTGGAGCCTGTGACTCTTGATCTTGGGGGTTGTGAGTTCAAGCAAGCCCCAAGTTGGGTGTAAAGATTACTTAAAAATAAAACATTAACAAAAAAAAAGGTGGAGCGCCTGGGTGGCTGAGTCAGTTAAGCGTCTGCCTTTGGCTCAGGTTGTGATCTTGGGGTCCTGGGATCGAGCCCCACATCAGGCTCCCTGCTCAGTGGGTAGCCTGCTTCTCCCTCTGCCTCTGCCCCTCCCCCCGCTCACACTCTCTCTAATAAATAAATAAATCTTTTTTAAAAAGAAAAAAAAAGGATATATAAATGTTAAAAGAATAAACTTTCAGTTAAATAAGGTACATTCAAACTCTGCTGCCCCCCAAAATAATCCCAGGAACCTGGAATCATGACCTGAGCCAAAGGCAGACGCTTAACGACTGAGCCACCCAGGTGCCCCAAAAGGGATTTTTTTTTTAATGATATGAACCAAGAACAGAGAGAAGAGGACCAAAAAATCAAATAAAGTGAAAACAAAAACCAACCAACCAACCCCAGAAACCAGCAGGTAAGACATGTCCACACATTTCTGGAAAATGAAAGTAGAAGGAAGCATTAGCAGATTAGATAAGATGCTCATGTTTTTTTATGAACATTCAGGGAATAAAACAGAACTCTTGGACATCAAAATTATAAACAGTGAAATAAAAAACTCAGAATAAGTGTAGAAGAAATCTTGCAGAAAAAAGAAGACAAAGATAAAAAAGATGGATAATGTTAGAAAAATAGATGAGAAAATCAGAAGATCAATTCAAGAGGTCCAAAATCTGCCTGAGTTGCAGAAAGCAGAAAAATGGAGGTGAGAAAAATCACAAAAGAAATGGAATGGAATCTCCCAGAACTGAAGAACTCAGAGACAGGAGGCATCTCTTCTGCCTGCCCGCTGTCGTTGGGTCAGGCTCAGGGGACCCGGAGCATCACGTCCCTGGCACCCACTGAGTGTCTGTCTGTGGAGCCTGAGCCCACAGCACCTCTTCCGGAAGCCACATCCTCCTGCTGACATATATGTGGTTTGCAATCAGCAAGCTCAAGAGAGTTCTTCTCACCATGTTGCTGCTAAGCCGCAAACCCCAGCCTGTACCTGCACAGCTACTTTTCTGGTCCCAAATGCAGTCTGTCACACTTCCCTGGTAAATTCTACTTTCCAGAGGTGGCCCACAGAGAGTTCCTCAGATCTCAGTCCTGCTCTTAGCCAGCACCACCATCAGGAGCCCGCTACCCCCACCTCGAGACAGGAACCAAATCATAACAGAACAAGGTCAAGAGCAGAGCTCTTCCCTAAGGTTCACGGGGTGGGGGTGGGAGGTGGGAAGGAATCAAGAACAAGTCCTTTCAAAGTGGGATCTTTCACTGTTTATAAAAACAGTGCTGACATCACTGTCAGGTGGTCCAGGGGGATGTCCTAAGACTCTATTAAAGGCCTCACCTCAATCCAGAAGTACTTTGAGGTCCAAAAAAATAAACTGAAATTGTTAGGCCTTGTTCCCAATGAGTCTGACCAAGCCCCAGAGACAACCACTTTCTGAGAGCTTTTCTAAGTGTTTGCAGACCTCGTCTATGGTAATTTGCCTTTTTGATAAACAGACATTAGTCATCTCTAGCCCCCAGGCCCTCTGCTGTTTCCCACCCATCCTGTAGGCAGCCAGACAGACAGAAATTTGCCCAGGAGATGAATCACCCAACTTGGGTTCAAGTCCCTTCTATCACCATTTGTCCTGCTTTTTCAAGCTCAAAAGATGGAAACAAAATGGGACACAAGAGTCTCTCTGGTTTCTTTCTGTTCCCTCCTAATATTATACCACTGGCCTCCAAGACCAGGCCGTTTCCCCGTTCCTCTCCCAAATATATGTAACAGCCCTATTGGTCGTCCTGAGTTTCAGGGCAAGGTTCAGTTCATTCTGGTGGCCTCTGGGCCAAGCTCTTACCTCCGTCTTTGGTTACATGTCCTCCTTTCCATTTAACTGTTTTCCAATCTCCTTCAACAGAGAGCTTCCCAGGTAGACATATCGGTTTCTGGATACTGCCTTCTTTTCCTCATGGGGATCACTGTCTTTCATCTCTAAGAGCTTCCCAGCCACCCTGAACAATGTGCCACGTAAGAATATCCCAGTTCAGGGGTGACTGGGTGGCTCAGTTGGTTAAGCGTCTGCCTTCGGCTTAGGTCATGACCTCAGGGTCCTGGGATTGAGCTCCGCTTACTCAGCAGGGAGCCTGCTTCTCCCTCTCCCTCCTGCTCCCCCTGCTTGTGCTCTATCAAATAGATAAATAAAATCTTAAAAAAAAAAAAAAAGAATATCCTAGTTCAGGGTAGGGGCAGAAAAAAATAAAAAAGAACATCCCAGTTCATCCTTTATTCTGAAATCTAGAAAGCTACTTCCTGAAGATCTAGTTCCCCTACTTTCCCTAACTCCCAAACTGCCTGTCAGTTTTCACAAGGAAGGACTGTGCCTAGGGCTAGTCAGAAACATTCCCAGTTTGGTAATGGCCCTGTTCTGGGGCTCCCTCCTCCCTCTCAGCTCTTGGCCTGAGCCTCCCCTGGCTCCTAGGGAGTTCAAACCAGGGATCCAGGTGAGCCTCCCACCCTGGGCCCCTGCTTGAACTCTTCCCTCTGAGCTCCTCCCCCAGTCTCGAAGTCCATCCTTCTCTGGCTATCCTCCCAGGTTATACAGTCATCGTTAGGGAGCTTCCTGGGGCCAATATCTTTACCTCGAGAGTAATGTGAAGAGTATGTGATGAACCAGTCCTTCCTGATGCCCGTCCCCTGACCCCACTGAAGCAGCTACCTCTCCTTGACCCTCATGCTGTCCAGCAGGCCCAAGCCCGTTTTTCTGGTTTTAGAGGGATGTCACTTGATCTAATTCATCAGCCCTATGAGCTTTGTTCTTTCATTTTCATTCACTCTGCCAAATGTCCTGGGAGCCAAGGACTAGGCCCTAGGTCTGCATACTTAAAAAAAAAAAAAAAGGAAACAAAAAAAAAAGGACATGTTGTGTTACCTTCTGAGATACTAAATAACTCAGACTATTCACTCATTCACCCTGACCTTTCCCCTAGCAAATGTCAAGAAGCCCTGGCAGGGCAGAAAACTCTTAAGGACAGGAACCCACCTTGGCTTTCTTATA